GATGATTCCTGGAGCTTTGAGGCGTGCAACTGGTCCTGTTAGCTTCAGGAGATATCCAGGAAGGGATTTGTAGCTTTGAATTGCTTTGAATCGTCCTCTAGGTTAGAAACCGATCCACGTTTTTTTGCAAAAAATTCACTTTGTGTTTGATGCTCTTCACGACTTTAATCCTTGTTCTTTTGGCTTGGGTATGTTCTATATATGTAGTAGAACTGATTAGGTTAACAAAAACAAATTAAATCTTTGTGAATCATGGAAATTGGATTTGATTTTGCTCTTGTATTATATCTTTCCAAAACAAGTATAGTCATACCAATTTTGCTTCAATCATCCCTTGCACGATTTGATATGATATGCCAGCCTAATTGGATTTGATTCCTACAAAAAATCAGATCAAAACCAATCTTTTTATATTTTTTTTGCAATTTATTTGATTTAATTTAACTTTTAAATAATAAAAAATCAAAATAAATAAATAAATAAAGCAAAAAATGCGTGGGTGCTGATTTGGGTCGTGGACCATGTCTCTAATAAGATGCAATCATGAGAAGCTAGGCCCATTTGACAAAAAAAATGCACTTTTGAGCACATTTGACTTTTGGCAATTTTGCAAAAATGGTTAACTTTGACAAGGCATATCTCCTCCAATTTTAACTCTATAGAGGTGTTCTTGAACTTTTTAGAAATATTAGGATGTCCCCTAAATAGCCCTTTTGGTTTCATCTCAATTGGGTCTTCCATGTTCATGTAAGAAGCTCTGGCCCAAAAGGTGTTTTTTGTTGACTTTTCAAAAGGACCTATAATGTAGAAATTCATATCTTTTGATGAGTTCATATTTTGAACTTGAGGGATGAATATGAATTGTAGGGAATTGCATCCTCTTAAAAATGAGCCTTGGATGGAAAATTTCTGATAAAGTATGAAGAAGTTATGCTTGGTAAAAGTTTGGTTGACTTTTCCTGAAAAACCCTAATTTAGCAACTTTTGGGTTTTGATGAATTTGGGGGCATTCCTTGAGGAATCATGACCAAACATTGATCAAATGATGGATATCTCTTCAAAATGTTGATGTTGACCAAAAATCTTGAAGTTTGACTGTATGTGGGCCACAATTGACTTTTGACCTAATATAGTTGATTTTCAAGCATCTGGGCAATTGACTGAGCAAACTTCTTGTGCAAGGCATGAAACTTGACATGGATGATATTGAGAACATATTGGGACAATGTAAAGCATTTGGGACCCTTGTACTTCAACCATCTTGATAAGGAGTGAAACCCTAGTTTGAAGCTTGTTGCCTTGGGAGGAGGATTTGTCTGGTCAATCCTTAGTCATCCTTGAGCAATTGGGGACCTCTAGAGGCATGTCTTGAGTGAAATGAGAGGGAAAATTTTGGGGTACAACAACCAGGTTCTTGTGGAGGTTTACTCAACAAACGACATCTCTTCGGAAAAGTCCTGTGGAGAAGTTTATATATTATCCTTTATCAGGTGGAAGACTTGATTAAAAAGAAACTGAGACCAGTTTGTGGCTTATGACCAGGTTCTTGGGGAGGTTTACTCAGCAAACAACATATCTTTGGAAAAGTCTCGTTGGGAAGTTTGTATATTATCCTTATCAGGTGGAAGAATTGATTTAAGAAGAAACTAAGACCAGCTTGTGGCTTATGACCAGGTTCTTGGGGAGGTTTACTCAGCAAACAACATCTCTTTGGAAAAGTCTCGTGAGGAAGTTTGTATATTATCCTTATCAGGTGGAAGACTTGATTTAAGAAGAAACCGAGACCAGTTCGTGGCTTATACCCAGGTTCTTGGGGAGGTTTACTCAGCAAATGGCATCTCTTTGGAAAAGTCCCGTGGGGAAGTTTGTATATTATCCTTTATCAGGTGGAAGACTTGATTAAGAAGAAATTGAGACTAGTTGGTGGCTTATGACCATGTTCTTGGGGAGGTTTACTCAGCAAATGACATCTTTTAGAAAAGTCCTATGGGGAAGTTTGTATATTATCCTTATCAGGTGGAAGACTTGATTTAAGAAGAAACTGAGACCAGTTCGTGGCTTATGACCAGGTTCTCAGGGAGGTTTACTCAGCAAACAGAATCTCTTCGGAAAAGTCCCATGGGGAAGTTTGTATATTATCCTTTTCAAGTGTAAGACTTGATTAAGAAGAAACTGAGACTAGTTCGTGGCTTGTGACCAGGTTCTTGGGGAGGTTTACTCAGCAAACGACATCTCTTCAGAAAATTCCCGTGGGGAAGTTTGTATATTATCCTTATCAGGTGGAAGACTTCATTAAGAAGAAATTGAGACCAGTTCGTAGCTTATGATCAGGTTCTTGGGGAGGTTTACTCAGCAAACCGAATCTCTTTGGAAAAGTCCCATGGGGAAGTTTGTATATGATCCTTTTCAAGTGGAAGGCTTGATTAAGAAGAAACTGAGACCAGTTCGTGGCTTATGACCAGGTTTTTTGGGGAGGTTTACTCGGCAAACGGTATCTCTTCAGAAAAGTCCCATGAAGAAGTTTGTATGTTATCCTTATCGGGTGGAAGACTTGATTAAGAAGAAACTGAGACCAATTCGTGGCTTATGACCAGGTTCTTGGGGAGGTTTACTCAGCAAATGGCATCACTTTTGAGAAGTTTTCTCATCAACAACAAATGGTATCTCTTTTGAGAAATTTTCTCGTCAAAAGAAAATAGCATCTCTTCGGAAAAGTCCCACCGAGAAGTTTGTATATTATCCTTTTGAAGTAGAAGACTTGATAAAAAATAAACTAGAACTCGTTCGTCGTGGAAAGGTTTATTATAATTTTCTACCTTCAGTAAAAGTTGGTAGTTCACCTTCATTAAAAGTCAGTGCATCTTTTGTTTCTATACCTTCAGTAAAAGTCGGTAGCTCACCTTCAATAAAAGTCGACGTATTCTTTTGTTTCTCTACCTTCAGTAAAAGTCGACAGCTCACCTTCAGTAAAAGTCGGTGCATCTTTTTCTCTACCTCCAGTGGAAGTTGGTAGTTTCACCTTCAATAAACATTGGTGTGTCTTCTGTTTCTTTACCATCAATAAAGGTTCATATTGTTCTATGTTTTTTCTACCTTCAACCATTGATTTGGTAGTTTACCTTCATATGTGAGTCAGTATCTTTTATTTTTCTACCTTTGACACGGAGTTGGAAATTTACCATCATCTTGAGTCAGTAGCCATTTATCTTTTTACAGCCTATGCAAGGCGTCTTCCCTGATAGAGTCAACAACTTTTATTTTCTCAAAGTTGTTCCCCATTAAGAGTCTCTCATTCAAAGTTTGTGGCTCTGTTCCCCAGTGGAGTTATAATCTCTTCCCATGTGGGATTACTTTATCATGTGCTTGGTTTCTCCAGCAGTAGTTTGTCTCATGTGGCGTCATTCCCTATAAAATTCAGAGCGTTGCATCCATATCATATCATAAACATCATTGTGGTATCTTAGGACCAAAAATTGTGTATTCTATATTTAAGTATCTTCAATCTTGTCAAAACGAAGATTTCAATCTTCATATCTCTTAATAGAAGAAACTTAAATAGGGGCAGTTGTCATACTCCAATTTTTGACCTAAGATCCCACCTTCATTTGCATTCTCATATATCATCAAGGTCATGAGATACAATTGGTTTTTAATCCTATCACCTTTGAGCATTGCTTATACATAGATTATCAATTGTTGTGAACATTTCATTTTATGCATCACTAACTTCTAATCCCATACAAAGGCGTATGTTTATGTTTCTTTGATTTCATGTGAAGAGACAGGCCTGAATCAAGTGTGTCAAGTGTTGCACCTAAATTAGGGTTTTGGATCCCTCAAGTGTTCAAGTATAATGGATCACCGATTCTCAAAAGCACAGTCAATATTTCATCATCATTGGTTCACATGTGCATCAATATGCCTTAGAATGCAAGGAAAGATCAAATTTGCAAGCCGGTTCAAAGCACTTCGACCAAAAAACAACTTTTGCAAGATCAAGTTCAAACGATCATAATTTCTTCATTATTCAATATTTTTAAATGGTTCTTTCTGTGTATAACTCTCCTTGACGTCGTCTTCAACTCCTCTTTACCAGTCAAGATCTGATTATGTGGGGAGGATGATCAAAAGTTTGAATACTTTAGAGGTCATTCAGTGGAATTTGACCTAATCTCAAAATAGTTGTGTCCGACTACCAAGGATCATAACTTCTTAGATTCTTGATGTTTTGAGGCAATTCATTTTGCATGCTGTCATAAATGATGTCATCTACAAGTTCTTTTCAAGGATCAAGAGTTAATTGTGCATAAAAGATCATGAAAATTATTGAATCGTTATAGGGCATTTCTTGACTTTAGAATGTTCTTAGCTGCTAATTTCAATTCATACCTGTGATTGTTTTCTCAAGATATTGATTCTTATGTTGAGATTGTCTGTGATACAAGATGTTGAGTTTGATTGTTTTTCACTTGTGTTTGAGCGTTGGTGATTATTGGATTAAAATGGAATATTTGACCAAAGTTCTTAAAAGCACTATTTGTTCAATCAAGTACTATTGGTTTTTATTAAGAATTACTATGAGGAGAAGATGTGATTTAGGGTTTTAGAAAATAAAGGTTTGAGGATTCAAACAAATAATCCCTTTGATTTCAAATCAATTCAAGTGTGCCAGGCGCAATTGATTCATATGAATTTGCTTTTGGTTCAAGATATTCATAAGGACCAATTTTATTATGATGTAAGTTTGCTAAACTTAGAAGATCAATTCATGTAATTTTTTTTGGAATTATAGGATAAAATACAAGAAGTCCATTCATCATTCAAAATTCATTCAAAACACTCATCATTCTAAGTCCATTTTTTTCAATATTGTGGGATCAAATAATTCATTACTTTTTCTTCCATGTCATAAGAATCAATGCAAGACTCGTCAAGTTCTAAAAATCCATATTCGTTCAAATCTCCCTAAACTCATACAATTATCATCATCATGGAGCATGATGCTTCTACTACACCAAATGAATGTTGAATCTGGTGATGGACTACCATTTGGAGCAGTCATTGTTCAAAATGATGAAGTTGTTGTTAGTTGTCATAACATGTTTTTAAGAAAAGATATCATGTTTCTCATGCTGAGGTTATTGCTATAAGAGAGGCTTGTCAAAATATGGATCAAATTTACCTTGCTGACTGTGAAATATATGCTTCTTGTGAACCTTGTCCAATGTGTTTTGGTGCCATTCATTTTTCAAAAATTAAGAGACTGGTTTATGGAGCTAAAGCAGACGTTGTAATAGCTATCAAATTCGATAGTTTTATCGCTGATGCACAGAAGGACACTAGTTCTCATCAGAAGTCTCAGTTGGAGATTAAAAAGATAGAAGGTACTACAACTGCAATTGCAGAACAAGTATTTGCAAACACAAAGGGCAAGTATGTTCTTTACTGATTAAAATAAAGATGCATTTGGCATTGCTATGGCATTTCAAAATAATCACTGACATGTTTTTGATTCATGTAATATATGATACAAAAGATTGCACAATTTGGAACTACTCTACTATTTTTTTTTTGCTTGTATTGCCTCAGTCAACCTAAGCTATACCTCAAATCCTCCATCCAAATCTTCCCCTGCTCCAAGATAAACCTACTTCCCAATTTCCAGCTCTACTACCCTGTAAAACCAGTCCCTAATCCTGCCAAACCTGCATAAAACAACCAAACATAACAGTCCAAAACAAAGCCAAAACTGTTGATGTCCAAAACTGATTTGCACCTTACTTCCCTCCATCTTGCTTCTCTGCACCACAATACATCCAAAAACTTGCATGAAAATGGCCATAACAAATCTTCATCAAAAATCCAGAAAAATGATTACCATATTAGTTCAAACTCACTGGAATTTTCCCCCCAAAGTCCCTTGAATTCACCTATAAAACTACCTTGCATCAGTGCACTTAATGGAGGGGACAATTGAGAAAACAAAAGAAAATAATACAGAAAATACTAAAAAATCTCTCCCAATACTCTCTAAAAACTCGGTTCTCTCACTCTCCATAACCAATTCTTCCACAACCCTCATCACTGCTAAGCAACCGAACCTGCAAAAACATACACAAATCTCCATGTATCTACTGCTAAACCCTTTGATTCATCCTCCACCATCTTCCTTCAACACCGAAGCAGAGTAAGATTCATCCTACATATTTAACAACAACAACAACAATAGTTCACGACTTTCACAACAACAAAAAAGAAGAAAAAAAGTTTGTTCAACATAGAATCAAACTTCATATTAAAGGAGCATACCTCTGGTTTTCTCGATCTATTGTCGGATATGAAACCGTCAGACTGGCTCCGACCAAGTGAGCCCTTCTTTTCTTACAAGTATACCTTGTTGTGTTGTTTATGCTTTTCCATGTTGTTGTTATTTGTTGTTGATTAGTTACCATGCTATAACTTTGTTGCTATTATTCTGTGTTGGTGTTGATGTGAATTAAATAAAATCGTAAGAGAGATTTCCTCTATGTGTTCTTGCTTATTGAAGGATAATAGTTACTGTTAAGCCATGAGAACCGCTGAACTCGAAGCCACGAACAAAGGAAGTAAGGTATCGATTAAAAGGTATCATTATTTATGTTGAATCGTTAAAAAATAGACTGAGCGATTGAGGGGAACAAATCAAGAGGCGATTTTGTATTCCACTATTCTTTGTTGTCTATGCATGGAAGGAAGGTGAACGATTGAGAGAATAGGAACTAGTAGAGTGAAATCGGTTGAGATTCGAGGAAAAAATCGTAAGAACAGAGGAAGTATATCATGAGAGAGAGGAAGAAGAGAATGGTTATTTATAAAAAATTTGGAAGCAATGCAGAAATAATCTTAGTGTGAAAATTGGAAAGAGAAGAGTCGGAATATTTTTAGGTAATTGATTAAGTGTTTAAATTGATAATTAGGGATAAAAAAACATATACTTTTCCTCTTCCCAAAGGTACAGAGGCGCTTTTAATGTCATTAGGATTCCCAAAAACCCTTCATATCTCTCTCCCAAATTGGGCCAATCCATGGGTCTGCCAACCCATTTCCATTGCCTTCGTTTCAATTTTAGTTTAATAAAGAGATAAATATAATGAATAAACAACTTGGTGTAGTGGTTGGAGAGTAAGTTCTGCATGCTTGAGGTCATGTGTTCGGGACCCCTTGGGATACTTTTACCATTATTTTGTATATTTTATCCCCTTTTAACCCAAACTTTATTTTATTATATTTTAATTAAAGTGTATATACAACAGAAAAGTGAACATGGTGTAGTGGTAAGGCAAACTTGTTATGTCCTCGGGATCCTGAGGTAAACTCTTAGTGAGGTCATTTTTCTTATTTTTTTTACAATTCTAGGCTATTTAATCTTGTTTTTATTAAAATTTCACAAAATACAAAAAAATATTAGATTATGTTTTTTCATAATTATTTCTTCTTTGCCTCATAAAAATTCCATAAATATATCTTTTTTTAATTAATTTTTTTACTGTTAACTATTTAATTGATTTAAGTGCTATTTATTTAAAGTTCTTTCCGATTATTTGATTTTTCATATTTTTGTCTGAGCCTACTTCAAGGAAAAGAATCAAATTTATTAACTTCATGTCATCGAATATATATAATACGATTGTGCAAAACCCCATTTATACATTTTTAGTTTTAAATTAGATCTCTTCTAAACCCCCTAATTTTAAACTCACGCCTCTCTTGATAGAAACTCTGACATTAGATCATCATACTTTCAAAATTTTATTTTTTCTTTAACAAACATTTCAAAAACACTAAAAAACACTTCTTTTCTCATCCTCGCACTCATTTAGCAAGCAAACCAATTTTAACAAAAAAACTGATATTTCAAAAGGTTCCTATAGGATACTATAGATACATAGGGTGCTAGTACCTTCCCTTTGTATAACCAACCCCCGAACCTTCGATCTCTTTCAAATGTATTTTATTTTTTTTTACTTTTTTAGTATTATTCATACTTTGCATATTTATGGGTTTTAGAAATAATAAAGTGCGGTGACGACTCTTGATTTTGCGAGTCAAGTTAATTAATAGTTTGATCTCCGATTTTCACCGCTACACAATGTTGCTTAATCCTATCTTGTTGCTTGCACTTTATATTTTCACTCTAACTCTTTGGTTGAGTATTTTACATAATGTGAATGCAACTTCCATTCCATCAAGTGTGAGGTAATGTCGTTTCAATTTCTCCTTGAAAGTAAGATTTGCCTTAATGCATGTTACTTGGTTTTTTCCAAAAATGTTTGATATTCTCTTAAATGATGAAAACCATGAATATTCATTTCCAAAAATTTTTGATTAATAACTATTGTGTGTTCTTATTCTATATGCTTATAATGACTTCATATAATAATTCTTTCACATTTGTATAAGTTTGTTCTTGTAGTGCAAGCATGTGTTTTTGTTATTCTTTATTTCTTGCTTGAGGTTGAGCTAATTGTATGCATGTTATTTGTAATATGTATTTCTTGTTGTCTTGGCTACATGGTATGACAAACATCTTCATTTTGATTTTAGTAGTGACATATTATTGTCGCTATGCTAGGCACATGCGTGTGCGGCATCGGGAGTTCTATTATATTGTGTTACGTAATCGTGACACTATAAAAGCAACTTGACATATTTGTTATTTCCTGCTTGTTTATTCTTTATGCATTGTATTACATTTGTTGTGATGTTGTTTGACAGTTATTTATTAATTTCGCATCATTACATATATATGGGGATATGTGATTGTTGCTCTTCTATGGAAAACGCCTATGAGTGATATATTTGTATTTGTATTGGACTATGATACTTCTCATGGTTTGCTATCTTTCTTTTTGATGTTGTCAAAGGGAGAGAAGAATATGCTAGACGGAGTTGGGAAGCACAAAGTCAGGGGGAGCCTTCGATAACTACATGAAATTCATCGTCACAAGTTTTACCATCATCAAAAAATGGGAGTATATGAGTATAACTCCCGTCCTTAGATATTTTGCATGATGTCAAAACTGGGTAAAGTTAGCATTTTTGTATATTTGACGGTATCTCTATGTTTTGTGGCACTCCTTTACATTAGGGGTTTTATGAGCCATTAAAAACTATTTTAAAATTGATCCAAGTCATGAAAAATAAGTTTGTGCATAAAATTTCATTACATGTGTCGACACATATGATTTTCTTATCGACACATGTAACTCAGTTTTGAAGCATGTAACCTCTGGAAGGCTCTGATCGACACATGCATTGCACAAGTCGACACATACTGAAGCTTTTCTAAAATTGCAGAATTTTTTATTTTATGTGTCGACACATTTACTATTGTTTTAAAGCATGTAGCCTCTGACTTGCTCCGATCGACAAATAAGTGCCTTCAGGTCGACACATACAGCTTAAACTTAACGTATGTGTTGACACATACGATATTTAGATCGACACGTACTGATTGTTTTGATTATTTTTTAAATCTTTTTAATTCCGAACTAATTAAATACAGTGCGTCCGTATAGATTTATTGATTTTTTTTAATATCAAAATTGTACTCAAATACACATTGACTAATATTTATGTATAATTTTTTTTTTTATCTTACTGATCGTGTCTCCTATCACTTCACGAAGTATTTCAATTGCATTTTCAACATTACAAATAAGTGTAAATGAATGATAGTTCACCTAACAATTAACAAAAAATTATCTTGAAAGTGAGAATGAATTGGTTCTTTAATCATCTTAAAGTGAAAAGATTAGAATGCAGAATAATTAAGATTTTAAATTTTTTATCATTTAGTGTAATATATATTCATGCTTTTTTACCTTGAACTATCAGATTATGTCACATGTCACTTCATAAAGTTTTTCTTAATTAATGGTAAAAGTTTAAATTCCATGTGATCACTTATATATCACTAAAAGTGATCAACATTAAAGAAAACTAAGTCATATATCATTTGAATTGATCAAATAATATCTCTCTCAATTACTTACATTTCAATTTAAATGTGTATATTTTTCAACAAAAATCAATTTATACTTAACACTAAAGTGGTATTGGGAAAAATGCCGAAATGGATCTTTCCACATTTTCAACTCATTACTATACTTAAAATGTTATATACCTTGAATATATTCATATTTATCTTACACATTGGTAATACGACTTTTCACTGTTTGTTTTATCTTATAAATTATTAACAACAAACTAAAAGTATCAAAAGTAGGTACATAAAGGAATTATTATAAATGCATATGCATGACAGGCCTGTTAATAAAATATTTAGTAATAAACTATATTAACTATGACAAACTTTAAGACAAAGCTCTTGACCTTTTATTATCTTTTTAAGACAACAATGTAGACTTTATCAGTGCAAGATGTTAGATAAGTATTAATGTTAGATAT